AAAGTTGTAATATTAGTATTGAGTACTATTCTGCCCTGGCAATGGTGTTCTGAATCATGCCTTGACAGATAGCTAACAGAAATAAAGCTCCATCACACGTTCTTCGTTGTGCTTATGTGATGCACACTTTACTGTAAAACTGAAAGAAACATAAAAGATACAAATTACAAAGTGATTTACAAATATCATGGATAATTTCACATTCACAAACATCCACTTACATAATCAAACAACTAAATAAACAACAGATTTATGATAAGAACATGTGCTTGAAGAAAAAAGGATTGCACAGCTTCATTAGCATATTAGCCGCCAGATTCTATATTCCAGAATTAAACTTCGGTCTCTAAACATCTTAATAACAACCAGCTCTTAATTAAACTAAAACAACATTATTGCAGTTGTTTTCAGTATGAAATGTATAACTTACAGTCGTATCTACTCCGAGGATTAGACCGCAAACAATGACGTACACCCAAAACGCAGATCACAGAAAACGAGTATCTTCTTCTACTGGTTTACGTGCTTCCTGTTGCGTTCTATTTAGTAGTGTAATGATATTTTTCACCACAAGGTGTCACACACGAACTACTTACACAAATCAAAATACAACTTCCAAAGAGAAATACTGCACAGAACAAGTACAGATGCAAAAAGTTTTAAACTTTACCATTACAAAGTCATTTTGTATCTGTTACTTAATGTGTGTTTTGTCCTTTCATTCATAATAATGAATATATACATGACTGTTGATGTATTTATTTTGTAGAACGCAAGAGAAACCAAAGTCCAACTTGGAATCGTCCTGACAGTAAGTAAAAATAAATAAAAATGTATCGTTAGTGAAAGCATCGTATTTATGAGAACGCACAAGTTGCATGGCATGTGAAGCAGGATAAAGTTTGTAAATCATTAAATCAAACGTACTGTCTGCATGTAAATTCTAGAGTTTGTGTTCTCATAAACCTGTTGTTGCTTGTTTGATTCAATGTTATACAATGAAGACTGTAAAACTGCCATTTGACAATATTTTGTGTTTCAGTGAGTGATCTGAGGATTGTCCTGCTGGGGATGAATATATCCGAAAACAACAAAGTGGGAAACTTAATCTTAAATAAAAACGTGTTTGGAAAGAAAACACCACAACCTGATGTAGAGAAGTTCAGTGAAAGAGTGGAGACGAGAAACATCACAGTCATCACTCACCTGCTCAAATCACAAAACCCTGTACAAAAAATAATGGAGAAATCGTTTGAGTTTTCTCCTCCAGAACCTCATGTGATCATACTGGTTCTGCAGCATAAGGATTTTAGTAAGAATAAAAGAAAACGATTACGGTCTGTACTGAGCCGCTGTGGTGAGCAGGCGATGAAGCACACAGTGATTCTGACTACTGATGATGAGGCATGTGACGATGAACTGAAATCTGTAAAAGAAAAGGAGTTAATTCAGCAATTATCTACAGAATGTGGAGGAGGACGTCTTCTACTTCAAAACACACAACACTCTCAGTTACTTAAAAAAGTGGATGAAATAATCCCTCATAGTAAATATAAGGAGACACAACAGGTGTCGGCACTGGATCAAGAAGGTAGAAGATCTGAGGGTTCAGTCAGACGGAAAGAGAGAGCAGCAGGTTCTGAGTACAGAGAACATGATGAAAGCCAAAAAGCGATAAGAGAAGAAAATAGTTCTTGGAAACTTGAAGGTATGTCTTCTACCAACTGCAATCTAGAATATTTAAAATCTAGAATATCACAGACCAATATGTTTTCATATTGAAACTTTTGAAAACACACAACAAAGTAAGTTG